CTGGAGATTTGTTGTTAATAGAGGCCATATCAGGCTGCTTTCACATGGTGTAATTTTGTTAGAGACTATTTGCACAATGTGTTGTCATTACCTCTTTGAGCATTTAGGTGGAGCAGCTCGATGATACTAGACTATCAGTTTTCTCAAAGTGAGAGATAGGAAGCAAGAGCTAAGAGAGTTTGACATTTGTTTTTTTGTATTCTTCTGTTGCACGTCACATGTGAGAGAACAAAGGAGTGTTTCCTCTACAACAGCCCTGCACTTTACATGCACTCTTTTCTGATGAAATAAAGCAGAGAAAGACAGAAGAAAGTGAATAGGAAGGAAAGAAGTGCGGTAGTCAAGAGGAACAGACAGACGAGTGAAAGATGAGGTCGCAACCCCCCCCCCAAAAAAAGAGTTTAGCACATCACTCTTAAAGAGGAGAAAAACACTGTGGATTTAATTCACATGACATCGAGATGAAGAAAAAGACGTGAAGCTGTCTGCTGAAAACGTATAATTGGCCATGCTGGAATGCTGTGATTGGCTAAGAGATATGATAGCAGTGATGGGGAGGTCTTGGATGACAGCAGTTAATTGCTGTTTGTCCTCTTGCTAACATGTTTTGAAGTGCCAGTCATCTCATCTTACATCATAGAACACGATCGATTCTCCATCGTTCTCTACGTCTCATGTGACTGCTTATTCATTTAGCAGCAGAATGATTGAATAGGATTAATAAGTCACAGATTAAATAAGTCCTGGTTTAAATTATGTTGTCAATGTTGATTTCTGCACTAAAAACATCTTGTAGTCTGGGGTGTGAGCTGTGTCTTGGAAACGTTTAGCCTTGCCAAGAATTGCAGATGATTTCATCTCCTAATAAAGAAAGAATCGACTTTTGGGATATGTGCATATTGTTGCCAAAAATACTGTCTTTTTTCTGCAGTGTATGCAACACGGTTTGTTTTAGTATTCACATGAGTTTTTCCTTTTAAAATTACAAATACATAGACATTAAAAAAACAGTAATATTGTAAAATAATATTACAATTTTAAATAATTTACTATTTTAATTTATTTTAAATGTAAATTATTCCTGTGACGGTAAAGCTGGTCCTTCAGAAATCATTTCATGCATCCTTGCTGGATTAAAGTATAGTAACACTTTATTTTAAGGTGACCTTAGTACACGTTACGTGTGCTTACTATTATAATAACAATAAATTATGCATAATTACATACAAATAACCCTAAGCCAAACCCTAATCCTAACCTTAACCATATAGTAAGTACATTAATGTTACTTAGTACTTAATCAGAATTAGAATCAGAAAGAGCTTTATTGCCAAGTATGTTTGCACATACAAGGAATTTGTAATAGTGTCACAATTATATCTTATAATTGATAGATAATTATATCCATCCATCCATCCATCCATCCATCCATCTATATCTATATCTTTATCTCTATATCTATATATATCTATAGATATATATATTATATCTATCTATCTATCTATCTATCTATATATATATATAATTTTATTATATCATTTGTTTATATATAATACGTTTATAACCATAGTTTTATTTATAATATCTTTATATATTACGATATAATAATAATAATAATTTTTTTTTTTAATTATATATTTTTTCTCACGTTGAATTGGATGTTTATTTAGTAAATTAATTTAAGACTCAAACTTTTTCAGTCCAGGCCTGACTTGGTGATTTTAAATGATTCATTCATTAAAAGAACCAGTTCAGAACAGTCATTGTTAATTGGACAAAACAGTTTGTTCTTTATGTCAAAAATGTGGACACTTATTTTCTGATTTAAGTATTTTACACATTTTCGAATATTCTAAAAGTTAAGTCCTCAAAACTGTAGAACAAATGGAAGTATGGGAAAAAATTAGTGATCAAAAGCTGCATGAAGCATCATAATTATTACAAAATGTATTTGTTCAGTCAAGTGTGTCTAAGCTTTTGACTGGCTGTGTATGTTTTTTTAAACAGTTTGCATTATAGATAGTTGCACACATATTGCATTATTTGCAGCAAAGGTGCTGATATATTTGGCCCCAACTGTATGTATATGTCTACCTATGAACCAGTAGCCATTAATGATGTCATTTCCATTCTCCGGCTGAAATGGTAAACATGTCCGTCAGGAATGTCAGAGGTGTGTGCTGCTGTGAGAGGAGAAACAGTGATTGTTCCCTTATACACACACAGACACCGTAACAGTGGAGTGCCATTCACCCAAGTTAAATTCGGCACGGTGTGACATCATTCAGGAGAAATCCGCGCACATCACTCTCAATCCATCATCTCTGAACACAGTGTGGGAGAGAAATACTGCACAGTGGCAAAGACACAAACTCCTAATGAGCTCATAAACGTCTTTACAGTCTGCTCTAATCCAAGTCTCGGAGCTGCGTCTTAAAGCACGTCCATTAACTTAATTACAGTAAACAAAGCCATCGTGTTTGCATTTTAAAACCCACAGTATCGAGACGTTCCACTGTTAAATAGTAGCTGCATTTGGCGGAGGATTTTATGTGAAATAAAATCGGGATCAACATTCAGCTTGAACCTGAATGTTTAATGAATAACTGAGCTCCAAGTTGTGCAAAAGTGTAGGCATGCACTTGCTGCCCGTTTTGATTTTCATTAGCTGTGGTGTAGCAGTAGAAAGAGACAGTAGACACCGCTCCTGTCATTCTCCATCAGTCCTTCCAGTCATCTTCATCTGCCTGCCTGCACGGAGTTAATATGCATCAACAAACACACATCCACGCACACACACCTATTCATCTTATTTACCACCAAGTAAGGCCTCACGGAGATGTAATTTGTTCCAGTAAAACTGAGATAACTTGACCACTGGTGCATACAAAATGTGTTCAATAACAAATCTTTTGCTTCTAGACTATATAGACACAATTTAGTTACATTTGTAGGACTTCAAGGAACTAATGGTTTGTAGTCTAAAATACATGTAAAATG